GATGTGTTCTGGGGACTCTGGCAGCCCATAACGGCCCGAGGGGCCTCCAAGACAGCCCCAAGGGGGCCCCACCAAGACGGTCCGAGAAGGACCCAGGACGGCCCAATAATCCCCCAATGCGGCCCCAAGAGGGCCCCAGGACGGCCCATGATGCCTCCAAGACGGCCCAAGGAAGCCCCCAAGACGGCCTCCGAAGGCGACAAACGGACAACTGGAACCCTACGACGGCCCAAAAGACCCCCGAGAGGCCCCCGAGAGGCCCCAGGAGGCCTCCCAAAGTTCCACAATAGACCTGTAGGAAGCCACCAAGGAGTCCCCCACGAGGCTCTGCGGCCTCATGCTCTTCCTTCTCGTCCTCATTCTCCTCCCTCTTTCTCCTCTCCTTTCCTTCCCCGAGTGTGCCCACAAAGATTTCTACAACGACTGGGGGCGACAAGGGCGCGTGCTGTCACGTGCTCAAGAGCGGCAGACGCAAAATGGAACAACCGCGGCAACGCCACCGCGCGAATGTCCAGCGCTGCTAAGATGCAAATCAAGCAGAATGAAATGGGAGGGGGAACCGCCCGCTTGAAGAACCGATGGCTAGTGAACCTCCTGAATACTCACGACCGCACATCCGACACATTGCTGCGAGTAGCTCGCCTTATCGCTCGACTTTTTGTCCGCCTCTCCGGCGGAGCAAAACTCTGGCGTTCCACGTGGCGAAAGAGAGGCTGTGCCCAGGATGCGGCAGGCCAGAAACGGGCGCAGCAGAAAGTCCAATGAAGTCGTCAAAGACGCCGCTCAGGCTGGTGTTGATCTGGAGTTGCGACGGCGTCGATCTCGGCCTTGGAGATCGAGCGATCCCACCCACAAGCAGTAAGCCCCGCGTTGTTGAACTCGAACTGTGGCGGCATGCGCCTGGCCTGCGGCGTGATTCATTTTTACAACAAAAAATGTCATTAACCATCCTGTGGTGTTGGGTCCTCGTTCTGAAGATCACTCCTCTCCTCCTCCCCCTCCTCCCCTTCCTCTTCCGATCCCTGCCTCTGCCCTCCGAACCGGCCAACCATTTTGGCACACCCCTCACACGCTTCGTGGCCCCAGCTTCGTGGCTCCATAGGGAGCCCAACCGAAGGCCCAAACGCCAGCGTCCGCATGCGGCCACCGCACCAATTTTGGCACCCTTCACACGTTGCGTGGCATCACAGTGAGCCCCACAGAAGGCACAAATGCCTGCGTTCGCACGCGGCCACCGCACCCATCTAGGCACACTCCTCACACGTTGCGTGACCCCATAGGGAGCCCAACCGAAGGCCCAAATGCCAGCGTTCGCATGCGGCCACCGCGCCCATTTTGGCTCACCCCTCACACGTTGCGTGGCTCCATAGGGAGCCCCACCGAAGGCCCAAATGTCAGCGTTCGCATGCGGCCACCGCACCCATTTTGGCACACCCCTCACACGTTTCGTGGCCCCACAAGGGGCCCCATCGAAAGCCCAAATGCCAGCGTTCACATGCGGCCACCGCACCCATTCTGGCACACCCCTCACACGTTTGGCAACCCCATAGGGAACTCCTCCGATTGCGGTGCATACAACAACGGTATTCACAACTGCGCATGGTTGGGTCCTCCGCCACGCAACATTTGTTGCTCGTGTTCGCGATCAGGCCATAACTCGTTGTCGGGGGAGCAGTGGTGCATGGCGAAGAGCAAGCGTTTGCCGTGGATCTCGCGGCGGATCTGGAATGCGGTCTTGCTGGGGCCGATGTGGAGCTGCGCCACGGCTCCCATAGAACTAGGAATTGGGAAGCGCATCCGTTCCGTATCCAGCTTGAAAGATGCTAGAGCCTGAACTACGCGCCGCCCTGTCACGGCGACCGCGCTACAAAAGCCCACCGTGGGATCTTGGCCAGGTCGTCGCCGTCGAGCTCCGAGTTCTCGACCAAGTTGGCACGGCGGAGACAGTGGCTGATGGAACCCAGCAAGTTTATTTTCTTGTAGATGAGCGACAGGTGGCCTTGATGATGGTGCCGTCGGAGGCGCGCGCAGACGTGTTGTTGGATGCTCTGGGCGGTTGAGGTCCTTTGTAAGCCAGGGCCATTTCACGACATAAGTCTTGAACTTGATCGGCCAACTCCGCAACGCGCGTGTCGCGACCGTCGATTGCTGGTGCGTCATTGCAGAGAGTGCGAACGTGGGCGTCGAGCTGCTCCTCGTGGCCATCGTCGTCTTCGTCGCAAGACATGCCTTCGCTAGAAAAAAACGTCAGCACGACCAAGGGAAAGGCCGCGAGCCTTCCTGCACTTTTCGGCCCCAAGGAACCCGCAGGCGGCACGCCGCCTGCGCTAGCGGCAACGCCACGACCCGGCGCGGACCTCCGCCGCGCCGCCGCGTGGTTGGCCATCGTTCCGGGGGCACCCGCCGCGCGGGCAACGCGGCCGCGGGCCGCGCTGCTAAAACAGCTCAAGCAGGGCTGCGCGGGAAGAGGAGGAGGACGAGGAGGAGGAGGAGGAGGAGGTCGAAGTGGAGGAGGACGAGGAGGAGGAGGAGGAGGAGGAGGTCGAAGTGGAGGAGGAAGAGGAGGAGGAGGAGGAGGAGGAGGAGAGGAGGAGAAGGCGGGTGACAAGGAGGAACAGAAGGATGATGATAATTAGGAGGAGGAGGAGAGGAGGAGGAGGAAGGAGGAGGAAGAGGAGGAGGAGAGGAGGAGGAGGAGGAGGAGGAGGTCGGGAGGAGGAGGGGACGAGGAGGAGGACGAGAAGGAGGTCGAGGAGGAGGAGGGGGACGAGGAGGACGAGGAGGCAAAGGCAAAGGCGCACAGGGGGCATCGGCCAGTCACGCAACTCCTGGCTTTAAGCCCCAGCAAAAGATACGGAAGCGGGGCGGGGGCCGCACCCCCAGGACCGCCTGGGGCGCCGCTTGACCCGCCGACAGAACGCGGGGCAGGCGCGCCCCGCCGCGGGTGGGCCTCATAGATGAGAGCCTTCCTAGACAAGAAGAAAGGAAAAGGATCACCCCCACAGGGGCGCGAGCATCCCCCTCGAGAGGAAAGGGGGGGGGGCTACGCCGCCCCCGCCGAGGGGAAACAACAAAAAGAGAAGGCAAAGCAAGACGGGGGGAGGGGTGGCGCCTCGGTGAACGGGCGGCCCACTGCTCTAAACCTGGGCGTCTGCTCCTCCAGAATCTCTTCGGGGGAAATTTGGGGGGGGCGCGCGCGCGCGCGCGCGCTCACCCAACGCGCGCGCGCTGCAGACGGAACCCCAGGGACACGAACCCAACCCGAGCACGACGACCACGGGGACGGGGGGAGGCAGCCCACGCGCGGTCAGCAAGCGCAGCAAGCCCCAGGCCCACGAGCGCACGACTGGCACTCGTATCCAAGTCGTCCCATCTCCTGTAACCATGTTGTGATTCTTCGCTATAAGTAACCCCTTCCCCGCATTATCTCGCAGCTGGGGTCGGAGTCGTTTCGTTGGTTTGCAGGTGCTCTTGTTCTGTCGGGCTGTCGGGCCAGCCTTCGCCATCGGGTAGAAAGCGTTGCCCTTTTGTCTCCTAGGGCTCTCTCTAAGGGCTTTCGCGCGGCCGCGGTGGGTTCTCTGCGCTGCCGCCTGACTGGAGGCTGCAACCTCCACGAGCTTCTCCGCGTGATCCTCGATCGCGGTCTTCTTCTCCACCCCCTGCTCAGGCGGGGCCGCCGCGACCGCATCCTCTGTCACCTGCGGCGCGTCGTCGTTCTTCTGAGTATTGATCTTGTCGCAATCGATCCAAGGCTCCGGCCTTTCTCCCCCCAGTCGCATGGGATCCAAGTCCCCCCGCCCCGCGTCGTCGGCTTCCATTCGCTCTCGTCGCTCTTCTCACGGGGCGCCAGCTTGACTGCGCGCGCGCCCTCGCGCGCCTTGTCGCTCGGCGGTTCGTCGCCGCCCCCCGCAGGCCTCGACGTGGGCAGGCCCTTCACGCGTGACATTTCATCGGTGCAAGTCGCCAAGCTGCTCGCCTGGTCGGTCGCGTGAATCGCGTCCTCCTCGTTGGCGGGCTTCTTTCTCCCAGTCGCGTTTGCCTTCGAGTGCCTTGCACCTGCTCGAGCAGAGCATGCTATTTTGCTCGTGGTCCACCAGCGCCATCACCCTCGCGACGACGTCGATCGCCGCCGAGGCAAGCACCGCCCCCGTCCTCTGCACGTTCAGCCCCGCGCTCTTCCGCACATGCTTGACCTCCCGATCTTGCCAGTGTCGCACCGGACCTGGCCCGCCGCCCCCATGCTGCGCGCGCCGCCGGCGGCCTCGCTCGTCGCTGCACTGCGCCCCCCCCCCGAACCCTGATATGCCGTGCGAGCCCCCTCTTGACCGGCAAGTACTGCGCCCCTGCATCTCTCCCCCTGACCCAATTGTACCAAAACCGCTGTGCTAGTAGCTGTTTGTAGAACTTCCCGTCATAACACTCTGTCTAGTACTCTCTAGAGAGGGGCTGCTGGGCCCGTTGGGTACCCATTTGGAGCATTTGGGAGGGTGAGGTCTTATTTGGGTACTCTGGTGGGTCTCTTGTCTCCGTGCCTCTCCATCCTCACCCTAGCTGTCGGCGGGCCAGGGCCGGGCCTTTAGCGCGCGCTAGCTCGTCTCCTGCAGCGGGGGATCGCCAGCTCGTTCGATGAAATAGCTGCGCTCGTGGCGCCCAGCAAGAACCTCTCCGTCTCCTCCGCCCGCTCGATCTGGGCCCTGATCGACGCCGCCGTTGCGAAGCGCACCTCCTGGTCATCCGCTATCTCGCTGCTGACGCTGCAGCCCATGCTGCGCGTCGTGCCCCGCGCGTGCATCAGCGCGG